TTCATTTGAGTTTCAATGGCGTACACATCCCAGCATACAGTACTCTTCAAGGCTACCCTTCATTTTGTTCAAACACTGTATTGAACGAGCGGTAGGGTCAATAAATAAATCACAACCGTCTCCTTTTTGATATAAGGAATTCATTGAAGTCATACTTATCTTACGTCTATCATTGTTCTTAGACTAATAATGTTTTGGACGCTTGAATCCTGCATCTGGTTCATAAGACAGGAGGCCAAGGAAAAGAAAAGAATAAGAAGGAAGAAAGAAAGGCGGGGAAGACGAAAGCAAGAAAGTGCATCAATAAATAGTGAAATATAGTTTGTCAGACACTGAAAGATATCGGGATTTGATTGAAAACGGAAGTTAAAAAAATCGACGCCCTTACTAGTGTTACTTTAATATAGCATCTGCTGACTCGTCACGTGAACAGGACGATTCATACGACAAAATAATAATATTACTTGCGTGTACGCAGACATTTAAGGAGTTTTTGTGGAAGGGATGAAGGGAATAATGGATTTTTGTTTGTAGACGAAGTTCTACAGCAAAAATAACTTGAAGATGGACGCATGATATCCCTGCGAAATGTTGGTAGCCACCTGCAGGTCCAGACTACGCGCTAGTCGTTTCTGAATCCAGATGTGAAACCTAACTCCGTGGCCTGTAGTTCGTAAGCGAACTATACCGAAACCTTTCTAATATCGGTCGTTAATTTGTCCACAGATTCGATCTGACCTACGAAACACGTGGCCATACCTCCAGTAGCAACCCCTCAAAGGGTAGCTGTGGCCTGGGGATGTTTCTCTCATGAAATTCCCGGCTATGTTGGATTTTAGGTCTTTACATCGGTTTGCTGTGAGTAGTACGTTCTTCTTGGTTGCAATGCCGTGTAGTTCGAAGAAAGTCCCAAGTTTCTGACGAACATATCGACCCATCTTCAGGGTCGAAAGGTTAGCCAAGATACAAACAAGCAAAAAGCAAGTTTCGAGCAAAGACTTGGACCTAAAATACTAAGAAGTGAGAATTGCAAAAAGAGCTCAGCTTATCGCGTACTTCTTTATAGCTTCTTGCTTGATTTACACTGAACATGGAAGTGAAGGTTCCTCCGAAACGTCGGACTGTCTGCGAACTACACGTCCAGAATTTCGTACTCTTCAGTCTCCTAGACAGAGCACTGACTTTACCCAGACTGTCTGGAGGTCCCCGCCTCTCGTTCGTGATTCTGACAGCAAGCTTGGCTTGGAATGTGTTGGTCAGGTACATTCTGCGGGCCCGTACTCCTCCTGCGCATGTTTAAAGTCTTTGTTCTCTCAGAAGCTGTACTGCCACGGCAGGGCCCGACTGTGTAGATATTGTATTCCGTATATGGAGGAATGTGAAGCAGCCTCAAGTTATTTCACACAGTTCCGTACGGCGAGAACTTCAGCTAATCCGAGTGTTTTATAAGTGGCGTGTGCCCCAACCTCTTGGTGGGCCTCATTTCACTCTTTGTTTAAAGAAAGAAATATATTCTGTTTATTTGTAATGTCATACTTTTTGTATACAAAATGTTGAAATATTTTTAAATTGATATGACCTAAAACTATACTGAATATACCAGCGTGTATGCGAGCTTATACTTTTTAATTTTTAGCCTTGATTAATGTTTATTTTTTCCTTATTTTATAAAAAGACGCAGAAGGGATAGCTCAGTTGGTATAGCGATAAACCATGGGCTGGACGGCCGGGATTTGACCCCAGGCAGAGGCAAGGGATTTTTCTCTGCTCCACTGCGTCCAGACAAACTCTGTGGCCTAGCCAGCCCAGTATCCAATGGGTACAGTAGGTACTTTCCCCGGAGTGAAGCTGCCGGGGCGTTCCATCTAGCGTTGAGGTCAAGAATAGTGGTGCCATACCTCCACTCCCTCCTACCTCTTCGTGGCGTGGTGCGTTGTTAAACTCAGGGTCAACTTTAACTTTTAGCTTTCGAACAAAAATAGGCCTATGGTGTGATCTTGTTTCTCGAATCAGAGGATTGATTTTCGTGAAAGCTGTTATAGACTTCTTGACAGTGGAGGCTACTACAAGTTCATATTTTCTGTTTTTTTTAGACCTGACCGTTTTCAACAGAATGCGCACTGGATTTGGTCGAGCTCACTGAGATAAGGATTGTATGATATGTTTGGTTTAGTCAGGGCCGTAGGTACAGTGCGTCACACGCGCTTCCATAGCGTAACTGCTGCCACCGACCCGCTACTTATTTCCATACGTCTTGTCACACTAAAACCACAAGTCAGATCTAAAAGCACGGCCTCTACTTTCAGTACCAAACACCAACACGAAGAAAATGTTAATGGCTGAGATCGAAGTGTTACGTCATGCAGAAGGAAGAGGTTTTCGTTTTCCACAGCCTCCAGACCGACTTCGGCGCCCACTCAGCCTTGTGTTTAATAGGTAAATTTTCTTTTTTTAAATTCGCTTATTGGGGGGTGGAGTCCAACTGGGTTCACTCGGCACGGCGGCCACTGATTGGCCTATAGGTAAATTTTGCTTTTACCTTTATCTCTGAAATATGTGCTGGAAGACAGTCATGCAATCTGAGACGTGGAATTACTGGGTTTTTGGACTTTGTTCATCGTCCGTATTCTATAAAATACCAGAGAACACAACGTTTCTGGAAAAAGGATCTGTTTCCATCCTCAGGTCAGGGGATAGACACCTACTCTGATGGGTCCGTTAAAAAGAGCTGACCTCAATCACTGGACCCGACAGGGTAGATGTTTTCCCCCTGAAGAAGGAAACAGGTCCAGTTTCCAAAACACTGTATTTTCTAGTGCAATTTAAAATACCGGACGATTGACAAAGTCCAAAAACCCAGTAATTCCAAGCCTCATACACCATCGTTAGAATCTTTTAGATTCTACAATGTCAGACAACTGTTAAATTGCATTTTACAAAGTATAAAATTATAAAACGAAGACTGCATGAAATCTATATACACAGTTATATCTGATAACTATATATGGGTTTAAAACAATTTAAACCTAGTCGACGATTTGGCACTATTCTAAGTTAGTTCAATCCACTCCACATATTCGGTACCATTTTCCCCACGGTTTGGTTTAATATTATCCAATAATCTTTTCAGCCTTCCATTTCACCTTAAAAAGCGAAGTCAGAATTCTGTATGTAAACTACGTATCCGGACATCACTCCGTTGTTTAGCTACTTGTCCAAAAACCCAGTAATTCTTTACTTGTAATAATACTGGACGAGTGTTATAAATCGCGAGGGTCCCCGATATTTAATATCCCTTACTTCCACCAGTTTTGACTGTAGCATTTCCTTTGCCTCAAGCTTAGAACCACAAGTCGGTTGAGAAAACTTCGTGAAAAACGGGCTGCATCGAGTGACGTTAAAGTTCCATATTGCACGTTTTCTCGATGTTCTCGATGCCTCTTGCGGCTCTTGCACATGGTAGGCTCGACTAGTACAAAGTTGGTACGGTTGACAACAGATGTCACTAAGGATTGGTTACTGCACTAGAATATATTCTAGCTCACAAACGTGAATCTTTATGCACACAACGTTCTGATTTCGTTTGTTGGACGTATTTATATGTCATTTATGATACTGATTGTTTGAGATGTAGCTTGCTCCTAGGATTTTTAACAATACTGCAGGATTTCTGTGACATCAAATGGAGGACGGCAGGGCTGCTGGGAATGGTTACGAGGAATTGTCGTCGTCTACTTTTATGTTCGATCATGTTATCTAAAGACAACTACGAAAAACTTTATGCATATCATCTGGCGATAGAGTTATAAGTAATGGACCCCGAGTACGAAAGAGGGATACTAAAACGAGATATTGTGTTTTTATTAGCAAATCTCGACGATGCATTGCAAACTACGAAAGTCATCGTTTAGATCCGAACATTGTTTAGGACTGGTGAGAGAACGATTCCAGTGTTGTGTTATATTGTACTTCTTCCTGTGAATCGTACTTCATAATCTTATACAGCATGCCCTTATCATTCCATTGTGTGTATCAACTGGCGGTACTCGTAACATTGATGAGATCTGATGGTTGATGGTTGGAATATGGGAGCTTGAAAATATGACTTCCAATTAATGATTTATATACTGCAAAAATTTACATGATTGTGAAAATAGACTTATTAGAAAAAAAGAAGCTTTGATTTTGCTGTAGTGGAGCTACGCATTTTAGCAAAATGGTCAGCAGGACTCACGGTGCGAAAGGCTGAGAATCACTGTCTGATGTCACTGTCTCCTTGCTTCTCCTTCAGCAGAAGTGATTTGAGGTTGGGAATGTTTTTTTCAGATTTCGGGCCGTGACTCATTGGAATATAAGTGTACAGAAAACTCAAGGATGGAAACTGATAATCGTTCTAAAAGTGTTAATTCAAAACACGATCTATTTTGATTTTTGGCCCTCCTCTTCTAACTTTGACGAAAGCAAGGGTGTATTATTAATGTTTTGTTGACAGATTCTGTTTGGACTTCTGAAAGCATTATAGATGGACACAGCGTTTAATGTAAGAAAGATTAATCTAAAGGTATAGTACTAATCCATGGAAAGTCATGAATTCACTTGTGCCATCATACAAAAATAAATTAACACGTCACGCTTACACAACGTCAACTGTTTATTGATCGAAGCCGAAGCAATTACTTTCTCACATAGTATTATGTAGCAAATGATCAATTTATCCATGATGTGTGCTGTGTAAAACGTATCAGGACAAATGTTGATAAGACGAACGCAATACTACTCATTATTAATTGATATTTACTTTTAATTAAAATTTTCTATGGTTATAGATCAACAGTCTCAATTCATGTTACGCGGGCTTCCATTTTCCTCCTCCTGTGGACCCCGTAGCGCGTTGTTGTGAATCCAACATGGCGCTTAATGTTGTGTCGGATTGTACGTGAACGTCAGTGTATTAAGACACTAGGTAAATATAAGGAAAGAAGAATATATGTGTTGAGTGTGTCACATTTCCTATTTATTTAAGCCAATAATAGATGCTAGTACATTTACAAGTGTGATTTTGTTATCTACTTACTAACTTAGACGTGTTTATAAGTCTTCGGTATGGACAAGGCCTATTATTTTCTTGGCAAATGCTTGTTAATGTTCTATATTGGTGATATCGGATTTTTATGGGAGAAGAAGTTACACCTGGATTGTCATGGGTAAACTAGCACAGTTTTGAAAAATGTGGCTGTAATTTGTAGTATTTCCTGTTAAGTCATTTGTTCGTAGTCATAAATGAAAATGCAGAATTTGTGGTCAGGTATGGCCCTTTACTGCTCTGATAATTGTAATGACAGTGGTGGTTGGAGTTACATATTACTCAACTCATTTTAAGGTTACAACACACATGGAGATAAAAACAGATTAGGTTATGAGTACTATATTTAGATTGTAATCAACGTTTGATATAACCTCATAAAGGTCATATGTATTTCAGCAGTATGTGTATTCACAGAGTAACGTAATGAATTATTCTACTGATTGATAAGATTATGTACAAAATACGTTACCTGATGACTTCAGTTTTCAAAGCATAACTCACAGTTTTCATAATGACACATTAAAAGTATAACTGATGCATGGTTGATTATTTAGTTCAGTAAACTAATTTAACACGGTTTATTCAAGTTTCCTACATTGTTGAACTAGAACATTTTGAGATGTTTGAGATGTTTATAAACATGAGGTGCTTCTCTTATGTATGCTACAAACAATCCAGAAATCAACGCAGAATTGTATTTTTATTGATAGGAATCACTTCGGGCAGTATAGATGAATTTAATAGTACCTGGTACAGATTTGTACAAAAGCAATTAATGTAACATCAATAATTATAAAGTTAGTAATAATTCTATTCTGCTTGTAGCACTGTGTGTAACTGGGTTGTGTGTTGCAGTGTAATGTTAATATGCTTGTTTCTTTGTAAACAAAGTGTAATTCAAGCATTGAGCCTTATTTGCATTGTCAGACTTTGGCAAAAGGCATGTTTTCTGAGAAATTAGTTTTGGAATTACTTGAGTTTTATGATGATGTGCTGGTAGTCATTTGCTTATGACAGTTCTGTTAATGTGCTGTGAAATTGCACATAAGACACTTGCTGAATCAAATATATTTTTAAATTTCTGCTGCTATAGATAGTCATTGAAGAAATTTTGTAATATCAGAATGATCTTTTATCCACTGAAATTGTGTTTGCTGTAGGGGTGTGTTCATATTAAAGTGAAAGCCCAAATGAATTAAATGACCCTTTGTTGCAGGGATTATGTTTTTGGACTTCATTGACAGTTCTGGCTGGGAATCACTGATATATAATTTTGTTGATAGTTATTATGATTTTTCTGTTGGCAGTGTGTGCACATTAATGAATGTTCCTATTGCGGTCACAAAAAGAATTTGGAGTGTGAAGTAGAGTGATATATCCCATGAATCTGGGAGGAAGAGATTTGTATTTATTGTTTTCCTTTGTAACAATAAATTTTGTAGAACAGAGACAAGGAATTATGTTGATATAACACTTACGGACTAAAGAATTTAAGGAATGAAAGTATTAGCATGACTAATCTTTACACTTAGAGAAACTCAGCTTGTAGCAGCATTGTTACTCATACATTTCCAGGTAGCTTTGCAAGGTCATATGCAAATGTTAACTTTGAGAATAATTACTGCACAAATGAGGATTGAATGTACAACGTGCTGTCTGGTCTTTGGGCTCTGATAGTTTTATACATGATCGTTAAGATGGTAGAAGAAATAACATTCATCCTCAGATTATTAAATAAAATAGTTTGTTCTATGAACGTTATTAAAGTTGTGTTAAAGAGATAAAGTGATGCTGAGAGATCTTAACCTTTATTCATCAGAAATTCTTCAGCCTTCCATATATTGAGATGCAGAGAAACAAACAGGAGAAACACAGTTTTAGCATTTATAATCAGTGTAGCAGCACAGTTCTGGATGTCAACATTTTTTCATTTAACTCGTTGATAGCAAGGTAGTGTTCATGTAATTGATATAGTTAGTTGTTAGACTTTGAAATAAATGCTGCTGTGGAAGATGTTAACTAGATAGTAGTTGAATTGTCATATGTACTAACTAATTGTTTTAAGGATAAATGGAAATGTGGAAATGTAAGTCCATGATTTATTCTGACCGTCTTACAGTGCATACATTTATTCACCTCACTCTTCTCTCTTGCACTACATGTTTCAGCACTAAAGTGCCATCTTCAGGTGCCTGCTGGGCCCAGCAGTATAACACATGCAGTCACAGGAACAAAACACAACACAAAGCACGATACACATGAAAGTAGGAAGAATACTCCGATAGAAGAAGATAGGTGTGACTTGCGTATTGAGATACGACATAAGAATGACAAATCCTGAACAGTTTTAATATTTAAAATTTATCATTATATATGACAAATATATATTTTAGTCATTTTAGTATAAAGACAACAGGGCATGCAATGAAGTAGTTCGATGTACATAGAAAAGCACCTGAAGATGGCACTTTAGTGCTGAAACATGTAGTGCAAGAGAGAAGAGTGAGGTGAATAAATGTATGCACTGTAAGATGGTCAGAATAAATCATGGACATAAATCGGTGCAACAGGACGCCAAAGTATAACATATGGAAATATAATATCGCTGTGAAAAGCGTGTCTTGAACAGAGTACTGTTGTTGTCTTATGTGACTGAAAGGGAAGAAAGAAAAGTGCCCAGTGTATTGTTGCTTCCTCTTTTTAAGGCTACAATATTGTTTTGTTTGTCTTTCCAATTGTGAGTGGAAGAAGGTGATGTTAGTCTTTTTTCACAGTTATCTTAGGTAACTGATTATGCAGAATGTCGGATGTTCATGCATCTGCAAGGCAGGTGTAAATTGTGTGAAAAAATTCCATTTTCTATCCAAAATGTTATGCCTATGTTTAGTGTTTTCTAAGGCAACGAGAAATTGCAATTTTGCATTTGACTCTTTTACTTCAAAACAGTGTCCCTCAACTGGTCGTCTGCAGATGACTCCCATTCTGCAGCTTAATTTATACCATTCTGAAAATTCTGGTTGACATTGTATGTGTCTGTATATTACACGTGTTTATTTATTTATTTTACTTCAACCTTAGAAACTGCTATTGCACAACATCTGCCATTTCACAGCTTCCATTTAAAGCCTGAATAGTTTATTTCGAATATTACTATTCTTTTTGCATTAGGTTAATCAGTTAATATTGCTTCATTTCCAATATATACCTATGGAAAATTCTGAGACTTTGAATTAATTAATATGGCCTCACATATAATTCATAATTGCATTTTTCCATAAGTGTTCATGACATCTCTTATTATATGCCATGTTTAGACATGTTAATGTGCTGTTATTGCTACTGTGAAATGTGAGGTAGATAAGGTACTGGTCCTTGGAAAGCCTTCTGCTGTTTTACTGGTCCATGAATGGGAAGTTGTTGAGAATCACTGCTTACAAAGTATATGAAGATTTATAAAGCCAGTACACAGTCACTTCACCTTTTTAATTCAAATATATAATACAGGGTGGAGTGCAGAAACTTTTTGTGAAGACGCATTGTGAAGGGAGGGGAGGTCGCAGAAAAGTGGGGATAGGCTCGGTGAACGCAACAGTCGTGGAAGTTTCTGTCTAATACCCCTCAGTAGGAAACATGGGGTGGACGAGTGAGCAGCATGCGTTTGCTGTTGAAGCCTATTTTTTGAACAACCATTCCTACGTGGCGGTGCAGCGTGCGTTCCGTACTCACTTCGGAATTAAGCCCAGAGGTCCGGTTCCCGACCGGAAATCGATTGTTTTGTGGGTAGAGAACTTTAGGATAGCCAGGAGTGTGGTGAAAAATCATCAGGATGACAATGGACCGTTACGACGCCAGAAAATGTGGAGGCAGTTCGATAGTCGATTTTGAGATCTTTTTTGAACCAGCTCTTGAAGAAATACATCTAAGAAATGTCTGGTTCCAACAGGATGGTGCCACGGCCCACACAGCCCGAGCTTTGATGACAGTTTTGAGGGCAAAGTTCCCCAAATGGCTCATCTCGCTTCGAGGTGACATCCCATGGGCAGTGCACTCACCTGATCTAAAGCCCTGTGGATTTTTTATGGGGATACCTCAAAGCAGAGGTTTTTAAACATCGCCCCACAAACCTGCTTCAGCTGAAGAATGTTATTCGGCAGGAAGTAGCCCAAATTCTGGTGCACATGTTGGAACGTGCAGAAGGAAACTTCAGAAAACGGTTGCATCAGTGCATAGAGAACGGTGGCCACCGCCTTCAAGATATTTTGTATAAAACTACATGATTTAAAACTTTAAAGTATGTTCTTTCATTAGCTAAACATACATTTTGTCTCTCACCAATAATTTTTCTTTTATTCACTTTCAAAAGAAGTTTCTGCGCACCACCTTGTACTTTACAAGTAGGAGAGGTATTTAGATAAGCATAAGCTTTTTTTGCATATGTTGACTTGTGTATGGTATATTTTAAATTATAATTCTCATGAATTCTTTGGAGCGTGTAGTAACCTGAAATATAGCTGCCATATGGTGTGTGGTCAGCAGTTTCTTGTTAGTTTTGTAAAGTTCATGGGGTTATGTATGAATGCACATCACAAATGTAAGTGTAGAACTGATTTTAAAAAATGTCTTATGTTTTATGTCACACTTTTTAATTATACGGTAACCATTGTGTAAACAGTTCCACAATTTTTTCATATTCATATTAATATTTTTATTGGTTCCAGAAATCCACATTTTGCAATACAGCCTCCAGATATAGAAGAAGTCAAATTATTTGTATAAAAGTCAACAATACTATAATATTTATCTACATACACAAATTGTGTACATGTCCAACATACCATATAAAACTATATTAAAAATTTAAGACAACATAAATTCCCCAACAGAGTAACAAATTCAATCCATTTCACATCAATTAGTGGTTTTAAGTTTTATGAATTTTGTGTAATGTTTGTACACATACACAACTTTGGTATTACTGAGGTTATATTAATTTCATGTTTGAATATTTTTACTGAGCATATGACCTGTGTTTATACTTTGAGCATTAAATAAGGCTACACCATCTCTATAGTTACATTACAAAGGAAGGAAATGGCAGTTGTTATTCAGCACTGGAAC